CGGACCCCGCGGAGGGGTCTCAGTGTCTCTCTCCCTTCACGGACACTAAACGGGGAGGGGGGCCCTCGGTGTCTCTGTCCCCTCACGGACCCCGCGGAGGGGTCTCAGTGTCTCTCCCTTCACGGACATTAAGCGGGGAGGGGGGCCCTCGGTGTCTCTGTTCCCTCACGGACCCCGCGCGCGCGCGGGGGTCTCGGCGCCCCTCTCCTCTCCCGCCGCCCCGGGCCGTGCCCCGGCGGGTGCCCTCACCGGGTTCCTCATGAGGCGCTCGAGGCGGAGGCGCTGCTCCTCGGCCGCGCTCCGGGGGATGACGAGCTGCTGCGGCTCCTTGCGGGGCCGGGGCGGCCGCGGTGCCGAGGGCGCCGCCATGTTCCGGCCCTGGCCGCGCCCCGCCCACTCCGTGACGTCACGGCGCGCGACGCGGGCGGCCCCGTCATGGCGGGTGCGGTGAGGGACGGGGGAGATTTGTGAGGGACCTCCGTGCGAGGGACCCCGTGCGGGGACTTCAGTGCCAACAGAGCCGCGGAATCAGCTCGGGAAGCACCTCTGGGATCATCGAACTCAACCTCTGCCCCRTCACCACCCTGTCAAACAGAGCTCTGAGTGCCACGAGCCGTTTCTTGGACCACCTGCACGGATGATGACTCCTCCACCTCCCTGGGCAGCCTGTGCCGATATCTAAACCCCCGTTCTGTGGAGAGATTGCACCGAACGTCCGCACCCTGCAGCTTAGGCGGAGGCTTAAGGCACAGAGTCACAGATTTGTACGGTTGGAATGGAGCTCTGGAGATCACCCAATCCAACCCTGCTGCCAAGACAGAGTCACCCAGAGCAGGTGACACAGGAACGCATCCAGGTGTCTCCAGACAGGGATAATCCATGCCCTTCCTGGGCAGCCTGTCCCAACACCCCTGCCAAGACAGAGTCACCCAGAGCAGGTGACACAGGAACGCATCCAGGTGTCTCCAGACAGGGATAATCCATGCCCTTCCTGGGCAGCCTGTCCCAGTGCTCTGCTACCCTCAATGGGATTCTTGAAAGGCACAGAGTCACAGAATGATGGTTCAGGTCAGAAGGGACCACTGCGATCACCCAGTCTATCCCTGTGCTCCAGCGTGGTGTCCTGAGCGTGGCACTCATGGCTGTGTCCAGAGGGCTTTTGGGGGACACCCCATACCCTGTCCATGCAGCCTGTGCCAGTGTTAGATCACCCACACAGTGAAGTTCTTCCTTGTAGAATCACAGAATGGTTTGAGTTGGAAAGAACCTAAAAGATCTTCGTATTCCAACTCCCTGACWTGGGCAGGGATGCCACCCACTAGATCAGGGTGCTCAGAGCTCTGTCCTACCTGGCCTTGAACATGATGGGACAGTTGGGCAGTCAGAGTTTCAAGGCAATTTGTGCGAGGGCATCACCACCCTCACAACAAAGAATTAAATCCTAATATCTAATCTAAACCCACTCTATCAGTTTGAAGCCATTCCCCCATTTGTCACTACAAATTCATGTTCAAAGCCCTTCTGCATCTTTCTTGTCCAYTTGGGTACTGAAAGGCCACAACTAGGCCAGCCTGAATCTGCCTCTTTTCCGGGCTGGACAATCCCCAATTCTCTCAGCCTCTTTTAGGAGAGATGCTCCACCCCTCTAATGTTCTGGTTTGCCTTCTCTGAGCTCGCTCCAACAGGCCCATATCTCATGTTTTAGGTGGAACTGCCTGTGTTTCAGTCCCTGTCTGTTGCCTTTCATCCCATTGCTCAGCACCAGTGAGCAGCGCCTGGCTCCAGCCTCAGACACTGAAATACTMAGATATAATTTGTTCCCTGCGTCACTCCTCCCATGTCCCAGCTRTAGCTGTGTCCTGCTTGTCCCGGAGCTGTGTTTGCTGAGCTCTGATGTCCTTTGTCCCCTCACGCACGTTCTCGGGGCCGCAGTGAGTGCAGTCTGTCCCCAGCAGGCTCCATTAGCGAGGCAGCTCCGGCATCTGCTGCGCTCTGTCCAGGCTGAGCCTGAGGAGGGTGAAAATTCAGTGTATTTTTCCCTGGCACCCTGAGCCCTGCCAAATCCCTTCCCTGTGAGGTATAAGCGATACAGCATTTCCTGGTGCCCCCGTGGCAGGCTGCCTGCACCATCTGTTCGTGTCACTTTGGTCATTAACCAGCGCGGCCTGTGGGCTTTGTCTGCTGACAGTGATGAACGGCAGCACCATTCCCCATGGCACGGCCCTGCCGGGGCTCTGGGAGATGTGGGCAGGTAGCAAGGGGGGAAAGCTGTGCTGTCTGCATCCCTATTCACACCTGGGATTTGCAGGAACAGCCCTGGGACAAGCTGAAGGCTGGCACTCCCAAATCCACGCTTGCCTGTGGGAGCTGGAGGAAGCCATGGTGGGGAAGAGGAGCCAGAGCTGGCTGCGGTACAGGCCTCCACTGCAAGCCAAATTTTGTCTCAAGTCACTGTGGCCCTACAGATATGGGATGGCATGTGCTGGGGCTGTGTGTGCGTCACAGAATTAGCCAGTAAAGGTCAGCTGCAATGGAAGAGGGGCATAAGCCTTTGTGCAGTTTATGGAGATAAGCCAGAGCCTGGAAGTTGGGCTCTGGGTTTCAGACAGCTTCGTGCTGTGCATGTGGAAAGGGTGACAGAAAGGGGAACRGAGAGGTTGGGAACAGCTCCTTCTGAGATTTATAGTTCATTTGTACGACCTGAATTTATTAAGCGTCCATTCTCTGCCCCTTTCTGTGGAGAAAATCGGAGCTGATCCTCAGGTTCAGCCCTGTGTTTACAAAAGACTTTTCAACCTCCACTGAGGTTGCCATGGAAATCACACTAGTTTGTGTCTCGTGTTTGTCTTACCAACCTGATTTGTAAAAGAATGGTGTGAATTTAGAGCTGGCTGAGTTCCCAGCTGGCCGCTGGTCCTGGAAGGCATCCTTGCAGTCTCAGCCCTGGCTGGAGCAATGCAAACAGCTTCCTCCATGCTGGCTGCCAGCTCCCCAGCTCCTGTGCCCGCRGCTCTCCCAGCCTTGGGTCCTATTCAGCCCACCAGGAGAGAAACCATCCGGTGCCAGGCTGGACTCAGCCCTGCCAGGGACACRCCCGCTCTGTTGCAGAGGCCTGGGCAGGTCCCTGTCCCTTCTCCTGTTTTACAAAGCAGAAYTGCTGCAAACCGATTTGAGTTTCCTCTGCTGAGTCTTAGGCACAACACAAAGGTGGTTTAGCTCACTAATCCCTAAAGTTTCAACCTGTTTCTTCTTCACAGCCACCTCTCCAAATACACAGCTTCCCAAAGCAGGGGTATGAGCTGCCAGGATTCGGCCCTCCCGTGCCAGTCCCCATGGGAGGAAGGCAGAATGGCAGCCTGAGGGCTTCAGAGAGCRGCTGGATTCACTTGCCCAGAACGTGGCTTGTTCCAGCCACAGCTCACAGCCCCAGGAAAGGAACAGGCAGCTGCCTGTCATCCAGCACAGCCCACACAATCCGTGGGGAAACAGACCTGGGAACATCTCATTCTCAAACTCCATGTGGAGGGAATTGGTGCAGACTCTTGATGTATTATGCACGTTCTACTTCTAAAAAATCCGGGGAGCGGGGCAAGACAGTTACTTGGGTCTTACAAAAATAGCAAGTATTTCACCAGAATACAAAGCCCACAAAATCAGAGCACTGGGCTGGGATCTGGGCAGAACTGGGCTTACTGGGGTCAGTGGATTTGCATTAGAACAGGGTAGTGTTTTCATAGGTCAGTGCGAACCAAACAACACAATGCTCCCTGATCTTTACCAAAGAAGCTMATTTGTGTTTCTGAGGAGTTTTCCTACCMAAGGGATCCTTCTGGAAGCACTGCAATCCTCTGCTGAGACAGACCCTGCACGTCAGGCAGGAGCAGCCGTGGAGCTCCAACACCCACGTGAAGCGTGGGCGGCCGTGCTGCTGAAATCCATTTGCATTTCTGTCCTGTTCATGGGATGTGCCAGGGCACAGCTCAGCGCCAGCATTCCTGTAGCCCAGTCCAGCATCCCTTCAGCCCAGTCCTGCTCCAGCCCCAGGCAGAGGGCACGGCTGGCATGGAATCCAGCCCACACGTTGAGGCTGCTTTCCCCTTGTTTCGCTATCAAATCTCCGCGGTAGATGCTGTTTAGTCTTGTCCTTGCCCCTCCAGACACCCTGTGAAAGGAAAGGGATRTTTTCCAGCGAGACTGATGCTGTAATTAGTCAATTTGCTAATAAGCTGAGGTGTGAACGGCTTTCCGTGAGGCAGGAGGAGCAGCTGTCCCGCAGGCACAGCCCTCGGTGTCAGCTCCCCAGCTGCCCAGCTCCTGATGGATGAGCTCTCCAGGAGCGGTGAAAAGGCTCTGGTGACTTTTGGGGAGGGAATGTTTTTGTGAATGGATCATGACACAACCGTGGCCTGATTACCGAGCTGAGCAGCTCCCTCCACCCCCCCAAAAGCCATGTGTTAGCTGYGTCTGTCACTGCTTAGCTGTCACAGTACAGTCTGGGACAATGCTCCAGTTTTCCCAGGGGATTCTCAGCAGAAAAGAGCACACTAGAAAGACAKACAACGTCAGAGCATGAGGCACAGTCTCCCAGGAGAGACGAAGGCAGAGGAGGGGGAATGTCAGGCCATGGGGAATGTGGCTGCTGGGAGATGCTAGCACAGGCCTGTGGCAAGGGAGGGCCGCCTTCACAGCCCAGGGCTGCTCATTCCCGATTATCCCTGCTGCTCTGGGGATGGAGGCGTTCTGACTTGCACCACTGACAAACCAGACAAAGTAAATAACAGCCTGGGAGGAGAGGAAACCCTGTCCTGTACAGCCTGAACCCATCCTCCTCCGCCCTCTGCTCAGCAGTGTGGAGAACTCCCTTCCTCCTTCCTTCTCAGTGCACTCCAGCAGGCAGAGACAGACCGAGCCTGGCCCCAACTGCCTGGAGATAGCAACGAGGGCTGCACACATGAGACATGACAGCATTCTCCCTTTTTTCTTTTTTTTTCTCTTTCAAGTAGCAAATTCAGCAAAGCCCCAAGCTCTTGCTCACATGCTCTTGTTTTTGCAAGTGATTTTATTTTAAAACCGGAACTTGAGTTGTCCATTTAACAAGTCCCCCCCCTCCCCTTTTCTTTTTTAAATAAAATTAATTTATTCTACACAACAGTAAACTCTTCCAGACTCTTCCCTATTTACAAATTAACATTTTTTTGCTTGCAGATCATTTCTTCCCCCTCCTTTTTCTATCCTGTGACACAGAAGGTGAGACATTAGCCAATATCTGAAGGTCTGTAAGGCTGGGCTCCCATCCAGCCCCCTGGATCCCACCCTTGGGACCTCAGGGAGAAACCAGAGTGACAATGGCTGTGTCAGATCCAGAGAACTCCCCTCATTCACTGTGCGTGTTAAACCCATCAACCAAGAGCATGCAGCCTCTCCCTGCTCCTCTGAGCTGTGTTTTAGCTGGGCTGAGGAAGGAGAAATATCCTCAGTAGAGCAAACTGCCCCCGCTGCCCTCCAAAGGGCCGTGTGTTTGGGGAGAAGGTGGCATTTGCTGCAGGAAGGGGACCCACCAGCCCTCCTCTCTTGGAAAAGAATCAATATAGTGTTTTCATTCCTGGGAGCTCAGCTGAGCACCTGCAAAGCAGAGCTGTTCCTCACCTCTGGATACAGCCCCTGGCCTCTGCCTGACCCCCCACCAAGATATTCTGAATGATCAACAACTGATGCATAGAGGGGGCGTTGTCATATTTTCCAAGGTTTGCCTTGAGCAATGGAAAATATTGCCCAGCTGTGGCAGAGAGCAGGCAGAGGGCTGAGCTGATGCCCTTGTGGAGAGCATAGGCTTTGAAAAATCAAGGAAGAGAGGGWGGGAGAAAGGGTTATCCAGGGATTCTCTGTTGGTAGAGCAAGAAGAGAAAGGAAACAAAGGAACAGAAAAGGCAGGACAGCAGGAAAACCCTTCCTTGAATGCAATTCATTAAACCTTGGACATAAACCTTCTTCTGTTACAGGGTAGGAAACACGTGCCCCAGAGGGACCCCAAAAGMCAGTGTGGATAAACCCTCAGACTTCTGCAGCAGTGCCCTCCCACATCCATGTGTGCAAGAAGAGTCTGCATGGAGAGCTGACATTGCCATGGGCATCCCAAAAYGCCAGAGTCCCTCAGCAGCTGTTTTGCAGGGCGATGGTGCCACAAGGATGTTGGCCATGCTGGGCTCTCGCCCCAGAGGGGACATGCCAAGGTGCTTTGGCTGGAGGATGGAGCCTGTCACAGCTYCGGGTGCCATCCCACGATGGTCATACCCAGGAGGAGATGCAGGGAGCCCGGCTCGGCCCTGGGAGAGCTCTTGGTCCGGAGGGAAGGAGAAGAGGCTGCAAGCTCTAAAATGGCACTGACTCTTTCAGCCTCCCACACCCCCAGCACCGCCCCAACCTTGGGGCTGTGCCAGGTCCAGCTGGGACATTGCCCACCGCTGGCACAGCTCCCAAAAGCAGCAGGGAGCGAGGAGGACGTCCCGGCTGGGTCGCTGGTGGTGGCAGGAGGAGGTGGCGAGGCTGGTGCAGCGGTGAGGGGCACGGCTGCCCCGCTCCYCCGCCATCCAGCCCCCAGCACGGGGGCTCAGTAGAAGGAGTACTGGTTTTCCACCGCCCGGGTCCGGCTCCGGGCACTGTCAGCCTCGTGGTAGTCCTCGGCACTGGCGGCAGGGGGCTCAGGCCGGCGCTCGGCGCTGTCGCTGCGGCTGCGGGGGCCCAGGGCACCCTCCAGGCGGTGGTAGGGTGYGGGGACCGGGACAGCGGGGGCCACGGCTGCCCCATCAGCGGGCGGCGGCACCGGCGGGCCCGTGGGTGCTGTGCTGCAGAAGTAGTGTGGAGGTGGCAGGTCCACCCGGCAGCCCGGTGGCTGCGGCACGAGGGGTGGYGGGGGGCCCGTGTCTGCAAGGGAAACAGGAGTTTGTTCCTCCMGTGCTGCCTCGGGGCTCGGCCCCCTCCCTCTGCCTCTCAGGTACCTTCCCACATCCCCCCTCCCTCCCTGACCCTGTTCTCCTCCAGCCCTCCTTTCTTCTCTCTCCCAGCACGGCAGGGTGTTCCAAGCCTCCCAGACCCCTCTCCTATCCGAGCCAGGGGACTGGCACCCCCAGCCAGGGACACAGGGTCACAGCGACACAGCCCTGCTGCTGCGTGGTCCCCAACGCCCACCTTTAGTGGGTGACACCCACCTTGACACACCTCCAGAGCCACGCATATCAGCAGGGCACTGTTTTAGGGTGGGAATCCCATGGGTCTGTCCCTTTTAGGGCCACACAAGATCCCAGCCCAACCTCACAGCCTGCCCTCCACGTCCAGCCCTGCCCAGCCCTGGCACCTACCGGGCTGCGGGCTCTGGGCCACCACGTAGCTGCGGAGGGTGATGTCGGCCGCGCCGCCCGACTCCAGCGGGATGGGATGCGTGTGGAAGTGGCGCAGCATGTCAAAGATGGTCTGGAACCAGAGGTGCTGCACGTGGCACTGCCCACTCTCGTTCAGCGACAGGCGCAGGTGCTGCAAGCACAGGGGACAAGGGAGTGAGCTGGGGGTCACGAGGGCAACACCCACCCTTGCAATCCATCAGTTTTGATCCTAACATAATATTGGTATTTTTTCCCTGCTGCAGGGGGTTTCCTGCAAAACCCCTCTTGCTGCAGCCCCAGGAGGAGTTTGGCTTCTCCTGGGGATGAACATCATGAAGAAACAACCAGAGAAGGGCATCTGGAGCTCTGATCCCAGTGTCACAGGCAGACTGGGRAAGCACCCAGCCCACCTGAACTGCTTCTTGCAAGGTGACAATAACAGGCAGTCTCATCTCAAACCCTCTGCTAGCAAAATAGCAGAAAACTATTTGTGGCTGTTTTTTCATAGTGTATTCACGTATTTCAGGACAGAATGGACAAGGAGAGGGTAGGGGAAGATGTGCCAGGCTACACTGAGCTCCCATGGGATATTTAACTGTATGCTGGCATGGCAGGCACTGATCCAGTAGGGAAAGGGGCGGGACAGGGTGCAGAGGGCTCTTGGGGGAGAAGGCCAGGTGGTCCTGAGGGATGCCCTGCCAGTTTCCAGCTCCCTGCAGAGCTACTGAGTTTGGAGCCACTGCTGACATTCCAGAGCAAGAGGGAAGCCCGGGTGCTGGGCAAAGCTGGCACTAACATTCCTGGAGAAGCAGAGGACACYCACCTTGGCTTTCCCCTGGAAGTTGAAGGTCAGCACGTACTCCCCTGGCCGCGTTTCACTCTGCCGGATGACGAACAGCCCATGACTCCGGGCGCCCCCGAAGAGCACCAGCTGGGCCGCCTTGATCCGTGACAGAGTCCCGTGGAACCAGGGGAAGTCGGACAGGTTGATCTCTGCCTCGGCCTCGCTGTCCTCCCCTGCCCACAGRGACAGCAGGTTTTTAGGGAGCACCCGGGCATCACCCCCTCTCCTCCTGCCCCCTTCTCCTCTCCCTCCCTGCAGCCTCCAGAGCGAGATGCTGGGGCTGCATCCTGCATCCCAGTACCTGTGAGATGCCCACCAGCAGTGGGGGAGGATTCCAGTGTCTGCAGGAAGCTCTCCAGTGGGACATGGGTGAGGAGCTCCCCCAGGGAGTCCCTGCCCCGGCCGTGGGGCACAGGGACAGAGGTGGCCGTGGTGGGGTTGTGAGCACTGGGCAGGGCACATCTGTCTGGCGGCCTGGGCACATCTGGAAGGGAAATTGCAGAGGGATGAGCTCRAGGCTCAGTATCACCCACCATCACTGGGCTAAGCTGGGGGCTGTCCTGCTCTGAAGGCAACTGTGTTGGATAGTCCTGGCWCCTGGAGACACCTCAGGGCTAGGTTACAGCTCTGAGGGACTCACAGACAGTTCCTTACCATCAGCCAGGAATTCACAGCTGGAGGAGGTTGTTCTGCCTGGCAGACAGGCTCCCTGTGCACAGGACACCAGCTCGATGTCGTCCCCACTGTCCCTGGAGGAAAGCACAGACAGAGACACACACATGTGGTACCTCACTCACTGGCATGGAATGGGGACTCAGCCAAAATATTCCAGTGTGATCCAGGAGCACATCCTGATGCTCCTTAATTTCTCCCAAGGGGTTGTCACAGCACCAAGAGCATTGAGAAGCAGAGCAGCCACCAAACAACAACAGACTTTTTGGGGGTGAGAAACCAGCTTGGGAGGGATGAAACCCTTGAAAGCCCACACTACACAGGTCATGCTGGTTGGTCCCAGCTGCAGGATTTTGCTGCAGCCTCGTGGGTTTGGAAGGAAAGCTGTTACCTTGGCACTCAGCGCTTTGCTTTGCACCCACACACCCTCCCACCACCAACTTCCACCCGAGGGTGCTTTCACTYTCACCCTCTGCAAAGGGAATTACCGACCCACGGGAATTTTGTGCCTGTAAAAGACACAAAAAAACCGTGCCACAAGGCCTGAAACAAAAGAGCAAGTGGGAATAGAGCACCGGGGTCACTCAGAGCATCCCCATTACCAACCCTCCCCCTGCACTTCAGCACCCTTCTTGCACAAGCATCCGACTTGCTCCACATCCTATTTTTATCCCGGCTGCCGGCAAGAGTCCGGAGCTGCCCACGGCACTCRGCTGCTCTTGCTTCACGCGGGGCCACGTGGGCACAGGCAGCGAGGAAGCGGCTGCTGCGTCGGTGGCAACAGCTCCCCGCGAGCTGCTGAATTATTTAGAGGCCAGTAAGTGAATCAGCCATTGGGAGTCATTCAGCTGCAGCCAGTTAAAAACAAGAAGGGAGGAAGGAAACCAAAACCAACAGCGCTCTGCAGAAAAGCTGTCGCCGGGCGCTCACGCGGCGGCTCCAGCACGCAGCCCTTGGCAAAAGCATCGGGAGCTGATTGAGAATTCGCTCTTGGCACCGAGCGTGTGTGTCGGTGTATTAAACAGCTCGTTATTATTTACTCTGGAGTTCATTATTATTTGCTTTACAGTCACGTCCGGAGGCCAGAGCGGGACGGCGCTGGGTGCTAAGCAAACACACAGGGCTGGGAGGCTGCCAGGGGCAGAGCGAGGGGCTGGCGCAGGGATGTCAGCGGCTCCTGTGGTGGCTCCAGGGGAGTTTTCATCCGTGGTGCTCAGCYCCAGCTGGAAAACCAGCACTGAAACACTGAGTGAGGAAAAAAGGGGCCTTTTTCCAGCCTTGCCTCTGTCAGCAGCCTCGGCGTTGCTGCTCAAATTATAGAATCATGGAATGGTTTGGGTTGGAAGGGAGTTWAAAGCTCATCTCGTTTCRCCCTCCTGCCATGGGCAGGGACACCTTCCACTAGCCCAGGTTACTCCAAGCCCCATCCAGCCTGGCCTTGGAAAGTTCCAGGGATGGGGCARCCAYAGCTTCTCTGGACAATCTGTGYCAGTGAATTACAGATTTCAGAAAACAGCAAAAGCAGCAAAGATCTGGARTGCACCAKTGCATCCTCCCTGTGAGATGCAGCCTCCACGGACCAACCAAATGCCTCTCTCCAGCAGGAGGGGGCAAAGGCAGCCTGGAGGGAGCAGGAGCCTCTCCAAGCCTCTGTTCCAGGTTTGATTGAAGTTTTCACCTCTGCAAGCATGAGCACCTTGTTTTTCCAAAGCTGTGCTAAGAAGAGCAGTGCCAGGGTTTYCCCAGAGCCAGCTGGAGGGCAGCAGCACCAGGCACACAAACCTCCCTAACACAACCTGCTGCACGTGCTGATGAAACAGCAGATGAGAAGTTTTGGCTGAGTTGTGACTCCAGTGACAATATTGATGCCACTGTGATAGAAATACAAATAAATCAATTTAACCAGCAAGAACCTTAAATATGTCATGGATGCTAAGCTGGAAAACCATGGAAAAGAGCTGAAATATAGTATAAAAGGTTCAGAAGGTGGGTGTTAGGAGCTTCCTGCATTGAGGCTGCRTTCCCAGGTCACCTGCCTGTGCCAGGCTGAGGGGATGTGGAGCAGAGAAGGATGAACAGGCAGCCAGTGTTCTGCCCCCCTGACAGACACAGGTTGCTAACTCTGCCTCCAAGACCTCTGCTGGTGTGAGCTGGGGACTTCCTGTGACAACCCAAACAGCAAGAACTGCAGGGGGTAACAGCCTGTGCTTGGGGTGAGGCACCACAGTCAGCCCCACCGAGCCCATCCCCAGCAATCCTTACCCGGGGTCGATGCAGTCCTGGATATCGGCCACCCACGAGTGCTTCTGCAGGGAGTCGATGGTCTCCAGGATGTACTCGGCCCCATTCTCCACCTGCAGGCAATGTGGGATGGAGTCAGCTGTACTGGGGTGCTGCCCCTCATCCCTGGGCAAAACACACCCCAAAACCCAGCCAGACCCCCTAAACAGCACCTTGGCTCAGCAGGAGAGGATCAGCGTATCCCACCCCATCCCAGCACCGGGGTGACCCAGAGGATCAGTGTCCCACCCCATCCTGGCACAGGGGTGACCCAGAGGATCAGTGTCCCACCCCATCCCGGCACAGGGGTGACCCAGAGGATCAGCGTATCCCACCCCATCCCAGCACCGGGGTGACCCAGAGGATCAGTGTCCCACCCCATCCCGGCACAGGGGTGACCCAGAGGATCAGTGTCCCACCCCATCCCGGCACAGGGGTGACCCAGAGGATCAGTGTCCCACCCCATCCCAACACAGGGATGCTCTGGTACATCCAAGGGTGACCCCTGACCCAAGCTGGGGCTCAGAGCCAAATGCCCACCCCACTGTTATCAGCAAATGTATGACGAGCAGGTTTTTTTATAAGGTTTTTACAGCTTCCATGGCAAAACCACACTTGGTTGGCAGCATATGTGCAAGCAGACAGCATCCCTCACTCCTGGGGTACCCCAGTGAACTCCAAAAATGAGTTCTGCATAGGTAGGGCAGAAGTCACAYTGCTCTCTGCCCCATAACCCTACCAGACCCCAGGAGTTTTAAACCTCTCCTCTGTTATCTTTTCTGCCTCTGGTCAGCGGGGCTTCTGATTTCTGWTTGCAACAGAGTGGGAGAAAAATGCACTTTCAAAGGAAAAAAAAAAAAAAGGATCCGAAAGATCCTCCAAATTGTCTAGTCCAAAGGAGCTGTGCCTTTCTGGGGCTGGGGAGAACCCAGAGGCTGCACATCAGTGGWCTCAGATGCCATAGGACGCTGTGTGCCTCTGGCATGCTTCCCTGCATCCCTCATGGAGCCTTAAACACCACATTCCCGAGGTGGCAAAGCAGCCCTGACTCCGGGGGGTGTCACATTGCCAGCTGAGACAACCTCCAAGCAAATCCAATTCATCACAAACAACTCAATCACTGTCCTGAAAACAAGCAAGGAGGGCAGGGAGCAGAGCCCTGGCTTGGGCTGACCCCTGTTCCAAGCAGGGGTGGAGGGCAGCTGCAAAGATCCCCCCMAAATTTGTTTAACCAGAAGAAAGGATCTTCTCTGGCTTTCTGARGGCAAGGCATGGAGTGACGTGGAGATGGGGCTGCTCACTCATGCAGAGCATGACAGYGAGCGAAACACGTGCAGGGCTCGGGTATTTTGCAAGCACCTGCTTGTGCAATGGAAAAAATTGCATGTGCTTGGTGTCTGATGGGCTCTGGGGACACACTGGCTGCTCACTTTCAGGCAAGCTGGCAGAAACTATTTCAGTGTGGCCTCCCCAAACAAGGCAGGGGCTTTTCCACCCATCATGACCTCCAAAAATGGGGCAGGGGCTTTTCCATTCATCATAACCTCCATAAATGGAGAAAGGGCTTTTCTACCCATCTGCATAAATGGGGCAGGGGCTTTTCCACCCAGAGAGTAACCTCCATAAATGGGGAAAGGGCTTTTCCACCCAGAGTAACTTCCATAAATGGGGCAGGGGCTTTTCCACCCATAGTAACTTCCATAAATGGGGCAGGGGCTTTTCCACCCATCATAACCTCCATAAATGGGGCAGGGGCTTTTCCACCCATCATGGGTGGAAAAGGGGAAAGGGCTTTTCCATAAATGGGGAAAGGGCTTTTCCATCCATTTTAACCTCTGTAAATGGGGAAAGGGCTTTTCCACCCAGAGTAACCTCCAAAAAATGGGGGCAGGGGCTTTTCCACCCATTGTAACCTCCATAAACGGGAGAAGCAGTGGCACACTCTTGCTGTTGGCCATGCTTTGGACACTGATGTGACACGGTTGAGGTGGGACTTGTAAAGGGATGTAGAAAACACCTGAGGTAGCTGATGAGCCATATTCCAGGAGCAGAGATGGATGGTTGATGGGTTATCAATGACCAGTGGTCAAAGCTGAGGGATGTGCCCAGCAGCTCCTTCCCATCAAGGCTCCCTGTGCGTGCCTCAGTATTGATTAGGACAAAGAAATGCTGATCAATTCATGGGTGACACTACACTGCGAGTGTGTGGGAGGATCAGGCGAGAATCCAAATGAACTTGTCAAAGCTGAGAAATGCTCAGTGGAASAAAAAGCTGAATCCAGCCTCCAGCTCAAGGACAGAGTGAGCTCTGAGCTCACAGCGATCGCTGAGGGCACGCGGGCTGAGGAACCACGTCTTGGGAGCAGTTCTGCAAAAATCATCCTGGAGTTACAGCAGCCCACAGGCTGCGTGTGAGTCAACATCATCATTGTCAGGGTGTGAGGAAAAGCGATTGGATCAGCTTGGGCTGGACAAAGAGGAAGAAGAAAGGAGAAGCAGTTCTTCCCACCCACTCTGGGCAATGGCCCCATGTAAACTTTGGGGTGCTCTCTCTGCAGAGCCTGCAAGGAAAGCAAGGAGGACCTTGGGCTGTCAGTCTGGAGAGTAAATGGCATTTAAAGTTGGTCTTGAAGGCACGGAAGGCAACAGCTGAATGAGCCTTCATGCCCATAGTGAACACTGACCACTGCTGAGRTTGAAGAGCAAGAAGCCCTTGGGGAAGGGAAGGTGCCAGGAGAWGGTGTGTGACCTTGACAAGGAACTGGATTTGATTCCCATGGGAATGTGTGCTGGAGCCAAGGCTTGGGGGCTTTCACAAAGCCAGGCTCAATTTTTTCCCTCTTTCCCTTTCATAGTTTTCTAAGCTTTCCAACAGGTTCATTCAGCTGGGAAGTCTGGCCTCTCCACTCTGCTTTGCCACACACTCTTGGGGAGAAGCATCAGGGAGAGAGGTGTTTTTTAGCTGGGTAGGACAAAGAAATGCTCAAAATGCAGTGGTCCATCACCATCATGCTGTCCAGGACCCTACAAAATCCAGCTCACAGCAGGCTGTTGTCTTCCAGCAGAGCAGGAGGCAGCTTAAAGCTCGTTATTTGCATGAAACGGGAAATTCTGAAGAGAGAGATTTTCACTCTATTYGTGCCCCCAAACTCAAGTGGGGCTGATCCCTGGGGATCTCTCCCCCACAGAGCCATTCCCATAGAATCACTAAGGCTGGACAAGACCTCCCAGACCATCAAGTCCAGCCTTAGACCGGATGCCACCTTGTCAAGCAGACCACATCACTGAGCGCCATCGCACCGTGTCAGTGACTCACACGCCCCCGCGCCGGGACAGCAGCAACCACAAAACCACAAGCAGCTGCACCAAGGAGCATCTTTCCTTGCAGGTTCTCTCTGGATGCTAATTTAWCCCATCTTCTGGTGACCCAGAGGAGCCAAACCCCGTGGTGAAGGCCAAACAGCTTGATCCCAAAACATTTGGGTGTCAGCTGGAGGAGGCAGGGATCCTGTGCTGTTTCAGCTCTGAGAGCCAGGGCAATGACCCCCTTGGGGACTGAGTCTCCTGCACTGCAGGCTGCAGGTGCARAGGGGCTTCCTGCAGGGATCCAGAGCTTGCTCTCACCTTCAGGACAAAGGTGTTGTCCTTGTCAGGCATCTCCAGGGGCATGGTGGTGCGCACTTCGATGATGGCCGACAGCGGGATGCTCACCTTGGGTTTGGAAGCCTGGGAAAAGGAAAAAAAAAAAGAAACAAACCAAAGGAAACAAATGAAAAGAAATCAATGAATTAAAAAAAAAAAAAGTCACTCAATTGAATCAAACTGTCCCTGGGGACAATGCAGCAGGGCTCTCAGAGGCAAGATCAGCTCAGCCTGTGTGGTTATTACAGGGGGGGAATAAACAGCATYGATTTCCCTCCCGTGCCTGATAACTCTGAGCTCTGTGAATTAAACCAAGGGGAGGCCCAGTGGAAGGCAGGGAGGTGCATTTCACTGCCAAACCACCCTCCCTGCTCCAGCACAGGCTGATGTGCCAGCTCTGCCAACACCACTTAATTCCCCTCCATTTTCAAGCCTCTCCCGATGCAGAGAGCTGCGCTATCTGACGGGGGATGCTCCACGAGCGGAAAGCAGCCCTGTTCCTCCAGCACGGGAGCAGCATTTCAACCGAGCAGCTCCGACGCAGCAGCCTCAGCCATGCAGGGAATTTTAATTACATTAAAATGAAGAAAAATGAATTTCCCCCGGGGGCCCCTGGCACCCGCCGGAGCCTCGGTGGGGAGGCAAGACCSGGTGCCTCCCACTCCAAGTGTTTGCTGAGCAACAAATTCCCCAGATATTTGCTTTAATTATAACAAATCCCCACAAAGGAGCTGGTGGAGCTGCTCTCCAGGGCTGGTCCCCTCCAGGGCTCTGGGATTTGGAGCACTGCAGCTGCAGGAAGCAGAGATGAGGTTTAGTCACCAAAACCTGCGCCTGCTGCCTTGGGTGCAGTGGGTGGGACGAGACCAACAAGGAGCTGCAGGCTGCAAGTTACCAATAACGGGCTCAGTTCCCATTTTTATTGGGAAATAAAAATAAATAAATCCAAGACAGAACAGAAACTGCTTTTTCCCTTTCAGGATGTTTAGYTTCTGCCAGCCCCAGAGCCCCAGTGCTGCCTCCAGACACGTCTCAGCCGTGCAAGGCTCTGCCCATCCCTGGGGAATTTTTCCATCTCGGTGTTTGCACAGGAGAAGGTCAGAAAGGAAGCGGCAGCTGCYTCAAAAGGAAAGGAAACAAGGTGAAAATTCACCCCTGAGCCAGAGAAGGGKCTCAGAATCMCAGAATGGTTTGGTTTGGGAGGGATCTTAAAGATMATCCCATTCCAAYCCCCTTCTCTCCAGGAGGGTTCTTCCCTTTAGAGGTTTAAAGACATGGCCATAGTTTTTGTAGGGTCTATGCAAAACCAGAGATGTGGGCTGCTGAAACAAAAAGCAGTTTTCTTCCAGCTGTGCCAGACTGATGCCACTTTTACATTTGCCAGATGGAAAGCAAGATGGGATGAGAGGAGAAAGCTGTAAAGCAAAGCAGGGTGTGATTATAACAGAAGAGCAGACAATGTTCATWAAAGTTGCCATAAAATAATTTCAGAATTGATTTTTAGAGGCAAATCAAGATACGCTAAAAAAGGAATTCCTCTATGAGCTCTCTCTTAAATGCTTTAAGAGCAGCAATTGTTCCTTTTTAACCCAAGTTTATTTTCTCTTTGGTGCAGCTGACACGGCAGGCTTCATCAGATCCTCCATCCATAGAACCATGGAATGGGTTGGGCTGGAAGGAATCCTGTTCCACCCCCTGCCATGGGCACCTTCCACTACCCCAGGGTGCTCCCAGCCCCATCCAGCCTGGCCTCGGACACTCCCAGGGACGGGGCAACCACAGCTTCTCTGAGAGGGAACAATTCCTTCCCAATGTCCCACCCATCTCTACACTCAATTTAARGCCATTCCCCCTGTCCTGTCACTCCATGCCCTTGTAAAATGTCCCTCTCCACCCTCTTGCAGGCTTCCTTGTGGGCACCATGGACATGGGGTTGTTTCCTCCCAGCCAGGCCCCATTCCTTAGGCTGGAGAAGCCCACAGTCCAGCCCTCAGCAAAGCCCACCATCCGTATCCACGCTGAGCTGTTCTCCAGAGAGATGCACATGAATTTATCTTATATTTTATATTTTCTCAAAAGCTGAGAGCACAGACCAACACCAGCAGTGCAAGGCTCATTTTGGCCTTGGGTTGATGGGTTTCAAGCACATTTTCTCATCTATTCGCACCTCGGCCACACAGCACCAGATCTCCCTCCAGAGCAGAGCTGGATTTCAGCCCAGCTCAGCAGTGGAAACAAAAAAAGCCCCAAGCAAAGCCCAACTGCTGCTTGAATTTCTCATAAAAACAAYGGCAGAGAAAAGCCAGGGCTTACCTTCGGAGGGACATAAAACTCCAGCAGGAACCTTTCTCCTTCCACTTTTACCGCCTTCCGCAGCAGGAGGCGGCACTTCTGCCACTGCGAGCTCCCCACACAGTTCGTGTCATCGGCCACCATGTAGCGCAGCGTCCCCTCCCTCTGGATGTCCACCAGCTCCACCTTGGAYGAGGGCACCTTGGACAGGCGCAGCTTGTGGGTCCATTTCTCCCGAGGGTCAGCGGGCTCCTTGCCCCCAGCCGGCCACGGCTCCCTCTCGGCCCTGCGGCCGCCCGGAGCCGCCTCGGTGCCCGGCTCCGGAGACGATTTACGGTGCCACATCTCCTTCATTCCGTCCACCACGCACAGGCTCATGTTCCTCAAGGAGAAGCCCTTCTTGAACTTGGGCTTGGTGGTGGCGTGGATGGAGACGTCCTCGGAGCTGCGGGACTGGCCGTAGGAGGAGACYTTGCGAGCCTGCACCTGCTGGGCCGGGGTCAGGTAGCGGCTGGCGCCCAGCGGGGCGTCCATGCTGTCCAGGGACTCCGTGGACGTCTCCTCCTTCCTCGGGGTGACCTCCCGCCCGTAGGGGACGTGGCAGTTCTGCAGCCCCACGAAGGGCACGATGTTGTACTTGGTGGGAGAGTCRGACACGAACACCCGGCTGACCTCCAGGCTGAAGATGTCCAGGAAGTTGGCGGTGAAATGGTGGGAGAAGGAGGTCTCGGCCCCCGGGGTGTCGTAGTGGGGGTTCTCCTTCAGGAACTGGCAGAACTTCTGGGCRAAGTCCACGGCGGCTGCCTGGGCGTGCAGCTTGCAGAACTCCCTCCAGTCGGGGAGCGGGGAGGAGGGCTCCTGGCACAGGGCATCGCCGTTCATGGCTGCCCCATTCCACCTGCCGGCGGGCTGAGGGACAGGGACACGGTCTGAGGGTGGGATGGGCGTAGACAGCCCACCCTGCACCCTAAAACAGGGGCATGGACATGGACAGCCCACCCTGCACCCTAAAACAGGGGCATGGACATGGACAGCCCATCCTGTACCCCGAAACAGGGGCATGGACATGGACAGTCCACCCTGCAACCCCAAAGCAGGGGCATGGACAGCCCATCCTGCACCCCAAAATAGGGACATGGACAACCCAGCCTGTACCCCAAAACGGGGGTATGGACAGCCCACCTCGCACCCCAAAATGGGGTCATGGACATGGACAACCCACCCTGCATCCCAAAATGGGGTCATGGACATGGGCAGCCCACCCTGCACCCCAAAACGGAGTCATGGACATGGACAGCCCATCCTGCATCCCAAAACGGGGTCATGGACACGGGCAGCCCACCCTGCACCCCAAAATGGGATCATGGACAGCCCACCCTGCACCCCAAAACAGGGGCATGGACAACCCACCCTGTACCCCAAAATGGGGGTATGGGCATGGATAGCCCACCCTGCTCCCCAAAGTGGGGACATGGGCAGCCCATCCTGTACCCCAAAATGGGGTCATGGACCACCCACCCTGCACCTCAAGTCRGGGTACAGACATGGACAGCCCACCCTGCACCCCCAAATGAGGGTATGGACATGGACATCCCAAACTGCACCCCAAAACAGGGACATGGACATGGACAGCTCTACCTGCACCCCAAAACGAGGATATGGACATGGACAACCCACCCTGTACCCAAAAATGGGGGTATGGGCATGGACAGCCCACCCTGCACCCCAAAATGGGGGCATGGGCATGGACATGGACCGCCCACCATGCAACCCCAAAATGGGGGCATGGGCATGGACATGGACAGCCCAAACTGCACCCCAAAACAGGGGCATGGACAGCCCACCCTGCCCCCTCACCACCATGCAGGAGCTGATCCGTAGCTCCCATGCAAAGAAAATGCCGTGGAAAAGTGTTGTGTCGCTCTCTCTCCACCTCACCACGAGGATAAGATCCTGGCCGCGGCAGCAGCCATAAATTGTACTTATTTTACGATTATGAGCATGCAGAAGCATTATTGATTTCTCATGAAACCGCTAAGGAGTCCCCGAGCGGAGGAGCCCGGGGGGATTTGCCTGCAGGATTCCTCTGGCTGTGTGTCTGCCTGGGCACAGCACAGCTCTCCACAGGGGAAAGGAGTCCTGGCTGGGCACTGCAGCACCCAGCAGCTGCTCTTTCCCTTTCTCCATTCTCCATTTCTGCCCTGATCTTTTGCCATATCAATTTTGGGATTTCACCCTCCCCGCTGAGCATCAGGTAACAGATAACCCAGGACAGGTCCAGTGGCCAATGACAAGGTGGGCTACAGGGGGAAAAGAAACAGAAGCCAGAGCCAGGAGCACACCAGAAGCTGATGGGAGCTGCAGACCAGACAGGAGAAGAATCACTTGGCCCAGACTCCACACTGGTCATTYCCCCAGTGGCCATGGGACTGGCAGGGCACATGCACAGTCCAGCCTGGTTCCCAAATCTCTGCCAGGCTCTGGGCAGCAYGAACAGCCTTCCCCAGGGAGATCCTGGAAGTGACTGCATCTCAAAAATCACCTCCCAGAACTGCTCATGGTGATGCTGGGCCTTGGCTGGGGCACTGCTGAGCCCATGACCCCAAAAACATGTTCCCTGTGTTTTTCAACCACTCCAAGGGCAGCAGGTGGGCAARTCCATCTCATCTGGCTCAGACACAGAGCCCAGGGGTGCCTGTGTGCCCCAAGTCCTGTGGGACCCAGGTCTGGAAGGGCAGRGCAGCTCCCCCGGGCTTTGCTGCTCTCTATTCACAGAGCAGCCCTTTCCCTGGATTTCGCAGCTCTCCATTCACAGCTCTTTTGCCGGCCAGGGATTACTCCTGCTAATAAATCACGCGCCGGGTCCCGCCGGCAGCTCGCACGGCCGATCGTTAATTACCACACGGCAGATCGTTAATTACCGCTCGGATGAACGGCACAAGCCACGGGATCGGGGCGGGCGCTGGGGACCGGGATAACCCCCTCCTTTATCCTCCAGACCCCAAACGCGTCAGTCACCAGAGCCCTGGAGGCTGTGATTCAGAGCAGCAGCTGTGGCCAGGAGCTGCTGCCATATCCCCAGCACATCCCTGTGGTGAGGAGCTCTCTGGGAGCACCTCATTKCTCTCAACCCCCCCAAACAGGGAGAAACCCACACAGGCAACAAAAACCCCAASAGGAACACGATGCATGTGGTGTTTTCCCACCTTTAAGGCAGTGATGCTGCTCGGTGCCTCGGCATTGAGGACAGGGTACCCGTGGACCTGCATTGACCCCTCACATCCCACATCACCAGCAGAGCTCCAGCCCCTGCAGAAATCCCTGGCAAGGCTCTCCCCAGCATCACAGGGCTTTCCCGGAGACCTGAGCAGGGATCCGTGCCAGCTGSGAAAAAACCCATCCCTGCAGTTTAGGAGCAGCGTCTGAATTTCCCCAAGAGACATCAGGAAAGCAGCAGAAAATGCAAAGCTGTTTGTTACCCGCCCAGCAAATGAAATTCCTAATTATCCATCCATCACCAAGCAGAGGATTTAAAGACTCTGCCCTTTGAATTGAAAATGCCCAACCCCAGCTCTGCCCTGGCACCGAGCCATGGGCCAGGAGTATTTGGGCTCAGGGAGAAAAGGGAGGTGAAAAGGAGTCTCTGGCTGCCAATCTGAGAAATCATGGCAAGAGCAAAAGAGAGGGAAAGGGTGCAAAGGGAAAAGAATAGAAAGGAGTTTGTGGGGGGAAGAGAAAGCCCCACGGTGATGGGTTTATTTGCCCCGGGCTTTGCTGGTTTCCCCCCCCCGTGAATTTGGGGGAAAACACAGCTCCCCATCCCTCCCTCCAGGAGGATGCTCAGGGCCTGCTTGCCTCACACCAAGGGATGGCAACAGACTCTGAGAGGTTAAGGGGAAAAAAGAAGTGGAAAAAAAAGACACTTCAAAAAAGATAAAGCCCCAAACACAAAGCCTCAAGGAGACACAGGCTCGGCAGCGGGGCTCAGGCTCAGAGACGCGCACGCAGWGGCATCACAGCATCTTCCTTTCATCTGCACGGGGATGACAGACTTTAAAAGGCCAATTTATAAAAATGAAGCCTAGAGGAGAGACATCTGGCAGGTCTGAGGAGGCGGCGGTGGGGATTACTAACCCTGTGCCACGTATCCAACCCCCCCTGCCCGGAGCGCACCCAGGAGCCCCCAGCCAGGATCCGACAGCACAGGCTGGGAGTCACTGGGGTGGTTTAAGGGCAGCCCCGGGGACTGCAGAGCCATCACYGCCTCTGCTTCACCTGATTTCTGCAGGAAGCAGCCTCCCAATTATCCRTGTGGATTTACCTTTAATCTGGGTGCCTGCGCTCCCCTCCATACCAACAGCTCTGCCCCACTTCTGGAAATAACTTATCATGCCACAGACAGCATCCCCGGGCAGAGCGGTGCACGCAGAGACGAAAATAAGCTCAAGATGAAAATAAGCAGCAAATCTGCAATTGCTTTTTGGAAAGGGCCRTCTCCTGCCAGCCCAGCTCGCTGAGGGCTGCAGCACGCTCCAGGCACCTTTCTAAGGAGCCAGATCCCTTTGGAAGTGCCATGAACACACTCCAGAACTGGCTCAGGGGCCACAGWCTTGAGTCCCTAGCCTGGGTGGCTTAAGAGGACCGACAAATAAATATTTAAAATGTGGGGGYTGTTGTCACAAAGAAGCCATGGAGTGGCACCCACAGCACCAGACTGGTGATGGGCTCCTAACYCACCTGCATGAGTCCCCAAACTCCTCCCAAGGCAGAGCTGCACCTGCTGCTGCTGTCATTTGGGAAACTGAGTCAAGATTTAAAGTGAGAAGATAAAAATAAAGAAATTCTGGGCTTTGCCAAGTGAAAACCCAGGCTGGGATGGCAGGGGAGAGCCAGCTGCTGGCAGTGATTTGGGACACCTTTCCCATCAAGGTGTGCTGAGGCATTTCCTCTCTGGTGGGGGGCACACGGAACAATCTGAAAGTCACAGCAAAGCTGACTGACCACAAGAAGAAACGAAGCTTAAACTGTCAGCAGAAGCGCAGGAGACCATAAAAAAACAACTCCCCGGTGAAGCAGGAGTCAGGGAGCAACAACAAAGCCGCTGGGATTTGCTGAACCAGAGGCGCGGGGAGGAACCAGCATCTAATGAGGTGTTAATAACCCGAATGCGCAACACCGGTCATGGGATGGCCAGCACAGCCTGCCCGGCACGGCCTGCCCGGCGCTGGCTCCCATGGCTTTATTTAAGGAAACAACCCTAATAAAGAGATGTTTCCCTTCCACCCAGCGCAGCGCAGCCAGGCTGGGGCAAAGCGATCTGAAACTCAGCGGGGAAAAAGCACTGCATGGTGGAGGCTGCGAGCGGCCAGGAGAATCCCTCCATCCCTGCCTGCATCCTCCACCCGAGAGGGAAAACTCTGACTGAGCCAGAGAGCCACGGGGAAGGAAAATCCAGCGCAGGAAGGTGAAGCTGGAGCTCTCTGGGAAGGAAATCCCAGCCCTGTAAGGCTGCTCKGTTTCCAGCAAGATCGATGCCACTCAAAGCTCCAGCTGGTCGTGGCGATCCCGCGGGAATGACACGAGGAAACCCAGGCACCTGCTCCCCCAGAAAAGCGCCTGACCTAAGCGTGCCGTGCCAGAGGAGATCCCCGAGTCACGAGCAGGGCGCAGAGCAAGGCGATACCCCCGGCCCCCCCGAGGTGATGCTCCTGGCAGGCGGCTCCTGACACACAAGGCAGCTCCCGAGGGAGCCCGGAGCCTGCCCGCGCAGCCCCGAGCACTGCCTGCGCTGGGCAGACGGGAAAAACACAGCTAAAATCGGGAAAACAGCAAAAATCGGGATGGGGACTGGCCTCAGGGACAGCGGGGTAGAGTGAGCAGGCTCAGAGTGATGGCAGGAGAGAAGCAAGGCCATCTTCCCTGCTCCCTGCAAGCACAACGGGATGAGGGATGATGGCCCCCCACTCCACAGCTGAGACCTGAAACATGCAAAAACCGAGTGACCTCCTCCCTTTGTCACCTCGAGGACCCTCCCCACCTCGAGTCCTCAAGATCCACCAGAGCTTTACCTGCATGCAGAGGAGGAGAAAACCATAAGGAACAAAAGCAGAAATCACCTGCTTGTGTGTCTCACACCCCCACCAGACCCCTGCCCACAGCCCTGGGGTGGGACAAGCTCATTGTTGTCCATATTCCTCAGTACTCCCTGTACTATTTATACTATTTTGATCTTAAATCAGACTGGCTGGCTGAACCAGACAGAAATGGAAGCAATCTCTGTTCCTCTCATTTACTGTCCATCCCACTAAAATATTTATTGAACAGCATTTTGGCCTCAAATTTTATGGCCATMCCACCTGCCTTGAACCAATCCCTCAGTGGGTGCATGCTGTGACTCCCTGCCCAGATGCTTTTCAGGGTCCACCCATCACCTGCAGCTCARAAAACATCTTTCTGCAGTGAGAAGGCTCCTTGTGCCTTTTTCTGCTGCACAGTGAGGGGTCCCACTGCTCACAGCATCAGTCAGACCAGCTCTCCAAACAGATGCTGCAAAGCACCCAGCAGTGCTGGATGGCCAGGACAGGCTTTTGGGGTGCAAGCACTGAAGRGACACACCTTCAAAAGGAAAATGGGCAAGAAATGTCCTTTTCCCCCACCCCTCTCRCACAAAGATCACACAGATGTGTGTGATATCCTGATTCCAGCCCCACAGCAACCAATGCTCCTGACAATAAGCAAATGGACCCATGAGAGCCCCCCAGTAAAGCCTGAGTTATCCTCCATTTCCCACTGTTCTGGCCACACCACGGGGCTGTTCCTCTCCCTCCCCTCCAAAATCCCCCACAGTGGACGCTGTACCTCCCGTGCTGACAGCTGCTGGAAAATAAAGACAAGTTCATAGATAAGATCCACTGGGTCTTAGATAATCTTTTCCCTCAGTAATTCCATCCAGCTTGCAGGGAGCCACTCTGCCAGCCCATGCACGGGGCTGGAGCATCACCCAAGCCACTGAACCCACTGGGTGCACTGGTGTGGGACCTGGGGRACACCTCAGCCGTGGGGAGGGGGTCCCCAGGGTGCAGTGACATGATGATCAGCAAAGCTTTGGTGCATCTGGGCATCATGGATACAGCTTGGGGCTTGGAGGCAATGTGATGGGAATAAAGCAGAGACAACCCCTTCAATGCCCCAAAGGAAAAGCTGTTGGAAAATAAAACAATTAAAAAAATAGAGTTTTAGATGAAGGAGGTCAGGGGTTGTTGTCCATTCCCCCTCACTCAGATGCCACCTCACGTGCCTATCTCCAGCCAGAGTGCTTCCCACAGAAAACCACCCAGTCCAAAGTCTATTTTTAACCCCCACAATAGCAGAGCCTCCCCTGAGGAGCAGCAGAAGCCCTGTCCCCAACCAAGCAATCTCATATTTCCCTCGCTAAGCCTTGATTTCCTTCCGCTCCTCATCCCACAACAAAACCCTCCTCCTCCTCCTCCTGCTCTGGCCTTGCCATCCTTGGAAAACTCTGTGCTCATCCATCCTCCCCCTCCAGGCTGGCCTGCTGTGGGTGCACAGTGTCCTGCACACCTGTTACACATTAACCATGACCTGTACCCGTGGGCAGACCCTTCCTGCACTCAGAAATGCCAAACAACAGATTTATCTGCTCACCCCTCGCTTCTGGGTGCACCCAAAACTCTGGGGATTTAAAGAAAAAGCCCTGTTGTATCAACTCAACTGCTGATTTCCCAAAGCAAGTGCAAACTCTTTTTAAAGAGTGCCCTGGGGTTTGCTGTGCCATGGAGGGGCTCCTTGGGTGCTTTTGGGGTGAGAGCTGGGTGGATGCTCAGCAGAGCAAATCCTGATGGATACAGCACAGTCATCACTGGGGATCCCCCATCATTAGATCAGAGAACCCCCTAAGATTGTTTTCAATTACAGCACATCATAAACATGAGATAAAGTTACACGGTTCTGTAGGAAATTTTCTTATTATGTTTTTCTTTTACRTCGCAGATCTAATTCCCCACACGCATCGCTGTCTCATACCCGCCTGCAAACAGCCTTAAACTGCTGCCTAATGGTATCTGAGCTGGGGAAATTCAATTCTACCCAGCGCCTCACCCAGGACTGCTACAATCACTGCTAATTGCTTAAGTGGTGTATTAAGCAAAATAAAAATTCCAGTGGGCTTTGAACCCCCCCTCTCAACCAGATGATGCCAAAACACCCTGTTACAGCTGCCAACCCTGGCTGGAGATCCAACCTCAAATATCCTTTTCCCCTCCACTGTGCAGAGATGCTCCTGGGCAGGCAGGGCTTTGCACCCAGCATGGCCACGAGCACACCAAAGGGATTCAGAGCTGTGTCTGCTTTGCTGTCCCTCTTGCCAGGGTTCAGGGGTGCCACTGCAGCTCCTCTCCTGCCCCAGGGTCCAAATGCTGCCAGGACCCAGTGGAGCAGGGCACAAACATCTTCCCAGAGGGATCCTGGGGTGGACACACTCTGGGTCCCTCTCCTGTGGGTGTGGATGGATGTAGGGCTCCAGTCAAGTCTCATCCCAAACCCAGACCCTGTACCCAACAAGCAGATTCTCCAAGCCCTTCTGGCTTTCCCTTTAGCACAAATCAGGTGTGAGATGCAGTTTTCCCTTCAGGGATGCTCTCTCCTCTCCACTGCGAAGGAGCCAGCTGGGATTTGATTTCGGGGAGCACACCAGTTGCTCCCTGTGGTGRCAGGGCCCCCAGGTTCCCTGTGCCAGCCTCTTCCAGCACCAGGAAGGTGATCACTGAGCCAGGAATGAGCCTCCAACACATATCCCACCACGTCAGTGGAACCCACGGGCAGGGAAAGCAGCTGAGGTCAAGCGAGGGCACCCACAGGCAGGAGGGGAATGATGCCAGGAGCAYCAGGGCTGGAAGCACTGCCCTGGGGCATCCCAGCCAGCCCGAGTCAGCAGGGCCAGCAGATGTGCAACCATCATCTGCTTTCTCTGCCTCTGCTGGGAAGAAGAAGAAGAGGAAGAGGAAGAGGAAAGGCATTAGCCAGCAACATCCTCATCTTGAGGAGACGGGTGTTCTACCTCCAAGGAGGAAGGATGAGGAGGTTGGACATGACCACGAGGGTGCATGAGATGTGCTCACAGCCCAGGAGAAGAGGGGACAGTCCTGGTGGCCCAGGGGTGCAGCCAGAAGAGCAGTCAAGCAGCCACTGCAGCCCTGAGCCAGCTGAGGGGCTTTAGGAAGGTGATTTTGACCTCAAAGCCTTGTCCAGACAAGGACAGGGGACCAGGGCTGGCTCACCCCCCTCAGTGGCACAGGGGAATGGTCACTATGCTGGGTGAGACACCAGASAGGGCAGGCGGAGCAGAGAGAATTCCGCAGCTTTTTTAGAAACCATTCAGTGGCAGCCCTGGGCTCCTCTGCAGTGATGGTGAGACACTGGCAAAGAGAGGGACACAGAGGAAGGCCCAAGGGATGGCCATCCCCTCTGAGCAGATCTCCTGGCAGCACACATCTTTAGTACAGGGAGGGCTCAGCATTGCGGTTTAGGAGCACTGATCCCGGTTTAGAAAGGTTTCCCCAGATGTCCGTGGTCCTTCTCCACTCTCCCAACAAACCAAACCAAAAATCCCCATGGAGGGGAGTTCTGAGCAATCATAGAACCGTTCAGTTTGGAAAAGGCATCCAAGATCATCCAGTCCAACCATTCCYCCAGCCYTGCCAGGGYCACCACTAAGCCATGTCCCCAAGTGCCACATCCACGTGTCTGTTAAATCCTGCAGGGATGGTGAGTCCACCACTGCCCTGGGCAGGCTGACAACCTTTCAGTGAAGAGATTTTTCCAAATATCCAACTAAACCTCCCCTGGCATGACTTGAGGCCATTTCCTCTTGTCTAGCCAGTTGTACCTGGCTACAACCTCCTTCCAGGCAGATGGAGAAAGGGAGAAGGTCCCCCCTGAGCCTCCTTTCCTGCAGRCTGAGCACCCCCAGCTCCSTCAGCTGCTCCTCATCCACTCCCAGACACAGGAGCAGGGCCTGCAGGGGATTTTGGGCAGGGTGCTGGGTGCACAGAGAGGTTTTACCTCCTTTCCCGTTCCAGTTCACAAGATCCCCGAAGCACCAGCAGCGTGGCTCTTGCAGGTCAAATGCATAACTTCWACCGATCAATTTCCACGCTGCAAGGAAGTACCAGACCGACCTGGAGGGAGGGAGGCACCTGGAAGGCAAAGGTTTAGGCTGTCAAGCCCCGGGGCCAGAGCAACATCCGCAGGCACATCTCACCTCCCCAAAGCCACAGTCCCGCTGGGCTCCAGCCTGACTTCGCCAAAACCAGAAATACGCAGAAGGGCCAGGCAGAAAGTCCCCCGAGCCTCGCAAGGGCCTTCCCGCGGTGCTGCCCGGGCTCAGCCGAGCAGGGCTGGAGGAAGCTCGGGAGCCGCAGCTGCCCCACGAGTGTCCCCAGGGCCCCGCGGGGACGGGAGGCACCGCTCCTGGGGGGSACCAGGAGCCCCTGCGACCCCTCCAGAGCAGCCCGCACCCCTGGTGCAAACACAGACAATACTGACTGAGAAGAAGGGAGCATCCATGCGCGGGGCTGMGAGCTGCCTGTGCCCCCCGGGGCAGCCCCCAGGGCCGGGGGAGCCCAACCCACCGCTGCAGCCCCCCRGCCCCGGGRAAAAAMCCCCTCCCCCGGTGCAGTCCCGCAYCCCCGGAGCGGAACSCCGTCCCCAGGACAGCCCCMAGGGCCGGGGGAGCTCAAGCCATGGCTGCAGCCCCCGCTCCACGGGCCGAGCCGGGTCTGCCCCATCACCGCCCCCGCCCCCGCGGGGCCGCCCGGAGCGGCGGCGATGCTCACCGGGAAGGGGGRCTGACCCAGCCGGGGGGGCGGGAGGCGGCGGCAGCCCCCGGCCCGGTGCTGCGAGAGGAGGGGGCGGCTCGGGGACCCTCCCGAATGCACCGCGCCGCAGCGCCGGGGGGGGCGGGACCCTCCTCCGGCTGGGGGATCCGTTCTGAACGGGGAATCGGGGGGGAATAACCAGGAAAAACGGGGAATAACCGAGAAAAACGGGCCCTCCCCTTCCTCCGCCCCCCCGCCCGCCGGTGCGGTGCCGGTACCGGTACCGGTACCGGAGGATGC